ATCAGTACGTTATAAAGTCAATTATTTACTTGGAAATTATAATTATTAAACAATGCCCATTATTTATGTACTAACTATTAATTATTTATATTTAATTAAAGTAAGTAACTTGATTATTTATATATAATTACTAGCTGACCCGGCGAACTTCGTACCGCCTTTTTTATTTTTTATTTATTTAAACTTTGTACCCTTCTCCGCTTCTATTCTCATGCTTTTTGATAAACAATATTTTTAGTTTTATGTTCTGGCGCGTAAATAAATAATGTTGATGGGTTTCCGACACGGGAACAGGCGACATATAATTGGCCATGTGTAAAACATGGATTTTCTAGGTTAATGCCACATACACTTAGCGACTGCCCTTGCGATTTATTTATCGACATTGCAAATGCAAGCCGCACTGGGAACTGTAAACGTTTAAAGTTAAATGGCATGTCGTTCGGTATCAAAGGGATGCGTGGGATTAAAACATCTTCGCCTTTGTACTTCCCTTTCAAAATTGTGGCTTCGATGACGTTGTTCAATAATTTCTTCACCGCCAGCCGGGTGCCATTACACAGACGTGGCTGGTTTATGTTCCGTAACATAATAATTACGGATCCGATTTTTAATTGCAGATTATGAGGTGGTAAGCCGGGCAAATCCAGCGAATTCAAAAATTCAATTGGATAATTGACAACTTCATCTTCATTAGTAACCGAATCAATTGATTTGTAATTCTTCAATTCGCCAGATATTTTCTCCTGAATCTGAAAATTCATTTCGTTCACATCAACATTTTTTGCGGCCAATATAACACGTTCGCTTAACCAAACGTGATTTTTGTAATTTTGAGCAATGTTTGGAAAAACCATCTCCATGAGTTCAGTCTTTGATTCACAATAGTTTGAAAAATTCTTTGGGAATGTTATATATCCAGATGATGTTTCAACAGCAATATTACCATTACCAATATCGAGCAGCTGTTTGGAAAACACTTCTCCCGACTGGTCTTCCTGCAATTCAACTCTCATGTTTATACTCAATTTAAGTATTTTAATGTATTTCCATAAAATGGACGACTTCAAACATGCATTCAGTTCATCAGCTGGCGTTGAGCGTGGAACAACTGGCAATATTTGTCGAAAATAACCTGCCAATAATATCATAGCACCACCAAACCGGTTTTTGTTATTTCGTAAATCTTGCATCGAGCGATCTAATGCCTCCAAAGATTTTTTGTGTGCCATCGTACATTCATCCCAAATGATCAATCTGGTTTGCTGCAGCACTTTGGCCATCGCAGAATTCCTCGAAAGGTTGCAAGTTGGAGTTTCATTAATCTGAAGGTTCAAATGCAGCTTGAGAGCTGAATGAGCTGTTCGACCGCCTTCCAACAACGTAGCTGCAATACCTGATGAAGCTAGGGCTAATGCAATTCCATTTTGCGATCGAATCGTCGCCAAAATCAATGATAACAAAAAAGTTTTCCCAGTGCCACCGGGAACATCTAAATAATAAAATCCGCCAGTTCCATCGTTCACTACTTTCATGAGCGTATCATAGGCATATTTTTGTTGTTGATTTAAAAGGGGAACTGTTCTATCAACGATTTCTCGCAATGTTTCGGAATCGTATTCGGTTTCCCGTCTTAATTCTTGATTAAATGCGTCGTGCATTGGGCGATTGGGTGCTATCATTCCTATTTGTATTAATACTTTGTTGGTAAGCATCAAGCACATGTCTTCAATTAAAATTAATGCTTCATTGTAAATTTCTTCGTTCATTTGCAAATCTGCATTCGGTGTTCTAAGACGCATCTGATGCAATATATCTTCTGCCATATGATCTTTATATTTATGCCATAAATCAATCGGTGTTGACGGGAAGCATGTAGACAAAATTATAGCAAATAATGTTCGTATTTGTTTAGCATTTGACGAAATCTTTGCTATACGTTCTTCTTCGAGAGTGTGGTCCCAATGAGTGTCATTCTCTAACAGTCCCAAATGTTGACAGGCTTCTCTGTATGTGCCACACAAAACACCATTAACAGTTCGCAGATGTTGGAATGATGTTGGACCATGAACATTGACTAACAGTAAACGCAAATAAAAACACTCGTCTTGACTGGGATGGACTACATACAATCTTTTAAATTTTCGGCAGCAACTCCGAAGACAGCCATGTCACTACCTTTGGTCACGTACTTGCAAACGTATTTAATCGATTTTACGGAGTGGCAAAATTCTACGTTTATGTGTGCTTTATATGCCTTGCAGAGTAATGGCGAAAACGGAACAACCCAACGATTATCAACTTCAATGTCCTGTTGATTTACTTTGACTATTGTTGACTTTCCATTGTCATCAATAGATCGGCGGCGATAAAGTGGATATCCATCTTGTCCAGTAATAGTTTCTGCTACTAATTGTCTTGGGTAGCGTTTTGAGCATTTCCCTTCAACCATACACGGAGAATTTGGATTTAGTATTCCACATGGACCATGAATCATATTTTTGTAATAACCTCATTTAACAGTGGGTCTTCATTATTATCCGGAATTTCTGCTGATATCACATTATCTATTTCATTCGGTCAAATCCTCTCAACCAACCAAATGAGGATATGCGCATGTGGCAATCCGCGTTTTTGCCACTCTACTGAGTACATCCAACAGCGCGTCTCGCCGAACACGCGATGCTTAACAATAAAATCCATTAGTGATTTTAATTTCATTTTAAACACCCTTGCAGTGATGTCGTGGCGATCAATGGGTGATTGGCTAGTAAATAATTCTTGTTGAATTTCTGTCCACTTTGGATTGCATGTGAACGTGATAAACAAATCTGGTGTACCATAATGTCGTACATAGCACATTGCATCTTGAGCATATTCATTCATATGTCGCGGACTTCCGACGTATGTTGCTGGGAGAATAGTTCTCCTCCCAACATTCTGCGCATTTCCATCAGCATTGATGGCATCCCGAAGATGAATGTATTCCTCGGAACGGAGTTGTGCCTGGTTCAACCTGATAAATGTCAATCGTTCTGTTTCAATTTTCACATACATATCCACAGCATACTGGTGAAATAGGCGACGACATTTCAAGATGTGATTGTCCTCATTTTCCCGAACCATCAGTCTGTATGAATAATAATTCATTGAACTAATTTTTTTGTTCGTTTCAGCACCTGAAAATTTTAAGTTAGTAAATATATATATGTAGTAAAAATATATTTTTAATTTACCTGTAACTGGATTTATCATCTTCATTGAAAAATGATACCCGTCTTCACCTTGCCAAAATAGGATAGGATATTGTAAAGCATCATAAGATCGATGTGTTTCAGACACACGCTGAAGTTGATTGTTCCGCCGATGTAAAACAATGTCTCGGTTTTCTAAATTTTCACCCACTATGACAATAGCCACTTCATCAATTGTTGGCGCATTAAAACGTCCAGCATGTTGTCCTGCAGGTGCCTTATCGGCTCTGATGACAATTTTGTGATTATCTGATGGCATGCGGTCTAATGCGGTTTTGAATAATGCAACTAATTCATTGTGTCGATGGAAAAATGTTTGAAGTTGTTCCACAATGGATTTTTTCACCGCATTGTTGTGTGCACAACGCTGATCGACTTCTCTTGCTGAATTGCCCATAAAATATATTTGCAAAAATTTATAGTCTTCATCACACATTGGCAATAAAGAACCTGTTCGGTGATATATTTGACCCTGAATCTGCAAGAATATAAATATGTATTTGGGTAATTGTACAGCAAATTGTTTGTACCACCACTTGGCTCGCAAAGTACTGTTTGCCATTATACTTACTTACCTTGAAAGTAGGCATAAAATTGTCTCTAATAACTTTTGTTGCGCCAAATGATGTCATTTGAAAGCAATTATTGTATTGCTGGATTTGCGTCAAAAAATGATTAGAATCTGGCCCAATTCCAGAAACCATTTCTCCCGCGGCGGGTATGTCACAAATTACCACAGATTACTATATAAGTCATACGAATTTTATATTTGCGTTCTGAAATCTCACACATAGATGGCGTGACAACGGAAAACGGGTTTTATTTTTTTTCTTTCTTTCCTTGACATTTTCCTAATATTTTTTTCTGTAAGAACCTTCTACAGAGTATTTTAAAACTGCAAAAAAAAATCAGCCAAATCGGTCTAGCCGTTTTCATGTGATGGCTTGACCACGCGAAACGGGTTTCATTTTTATATACAGTAGAATCCGTTTATTATGACTCCGCTTATATTGACCAACCGGTTATTATGACGTAACTACACTACCAAGTTTGGTTTTCATATAAAATTCTGTATAAAAAAGTCGGATATAATGACTTCGCTTACAGTGACATGTCGCTTATTATGACCCATTTTTAATAGATTATGTCCGGTTATAATGACCAACATGATTCTTTACACCTCCGGTAATGTTCGTTGATTCCCGACGACGTTCGACACGTGGCGAACTTTTTATATTTATTGCTACATTACTTTTATGTATTTACTATCGGAAAGACCAAATGCTTAAATAATAAATATAAGCATTCGGGCAGCAGCATCTTGACCACGACTTAATCCGTATTTTCCATTAATCCGAATTTGGCGTGGGTCATTCGACAATCTCAAGGTTTTTTAAAAAACAAGTATTAAGCAATCGTTCAATTCAAATGTTTTGAAACCGAAGAAGCTTTGAAAATCACAAGAAAATTAATTAAATGAAAAAACAAAAGCAGACAAAAATTACAGATTACTTGCAGTAAAAAATACACCTGTATGTGTTATAATGTGCTGATTACGTGCAATTTTGATTTTGATTTAATATGTATGTATATGTACATATTTACATAAAAAAGGGTTTTCATTTCACAAAACGCTTTGTATGACGTCCGCTTATTATGACGTGTTTGTCAATTCCCTTCGATGTCATTATAACCGGACTCTACTGTATATAGAAGTAATGCATAATAAAAAGAAAGATAAACCTTAAGGGTTTCACAAAAACTTTTAACACTCTGCGACATGTTTCGCCACACTGTGCCATCATCAGGCAGATGAATATTAAAATTATAAGTGCTAAATTAAACTATTTAGTGTTGGGAGAACTAGTTTAAAAGGTGTAAATTGAGCAATGGGGATTTGTTAACTTCTACCTGATCGTTTAACAATTATCCCTTTTTGTAATAGGTGTTTATTTCCAAAGATTCTAATATGTTTAATTTTGTGCTTTTTTTACACCTTGGAAAAATTTTGAAATTTGAAATTGTGTTATTTTAATATGTTTAATTATATTTTTAGTAAGAATTGATACATGCAGTAATTAATTATACATTTAATTGCACAAAAACAATAAAAAAATGTATTTATTTAAATATAAACAGTAGTTATGGTAAAGTGGTTTGATTATTAAGGCAAGAAAATCTTGGTCTGTTCTGAAAGTTTGAAGAGACCAGCTGCTTATTTAATTAAGATTCACTGCCTTCTCGGCCTCAATCTGTTGAAATAAATAGAAGACATTTCCAGACATTTGCGAATCCTGCCTTTTACTATTATGTCACCTCTAACAAAAGGAAAACTTTTGAGCGAATGCCTAAAGTTTTAAATATGACAAAATCCCAATTTTTTAAATCAATGAAACAAACAAATTTGGAAAAAAATATAAACATATAACAGGAAAAACGCGAAGTAGTTTTTAAAATCATAAGAAAAAAAGTGAGAAATACATAAATCAAAAATATAATTTTCAATTCTGCGTGTTTGTTTATTTTAACACCTAAAACACAAATTAAATTATTCTATAGTTTATAAAACAAAGGGGCAAACTTGAAAAGGACACATATCGTTATTCGTTAAGATACTAAGCAATTTAGAACCTAGAAGACGGCTAAAAGAGAATTTTTGTGTTTTACCTTCCTATGTCCAATTTTAGGGCACGTGTTGTTTTATGACACAACCTTTTTATGTTATTTAGTTGATTACGCTGATCTTCATTACTGTTAGTGGCGTAGAACTGCATAGCAAAGCAATTCAATATAAATAGGAGCACGTCTTAAGTTTACTACGCTCATTTCAGATTAAATCAAATAGTGACCAACACCCCCAGTCAATCTGGTTTAACCAGTGGAAGACTATTGATCAAGAATCTCCCTTAAACATTTTATTTATTTTTTAGTGCCTTAGGTAAATGTGCAAATTCCTCTTTCAAGTAAAATACACTTTTTAACTGCATGATTCATTTACTACATAAATTTGTGTTTTGCACAGATTAGATTATGGAATGTGCGAGGGAAGCTTACAATTTGCACGCAATGCATTATATCTGCACAATGTGTTGCGAATATGTTAGGTGTAGAGATGAAATTAGTTGTGCTATGTGGAAGAATGTCACATTCGCACACAGCCAACGCCACACGAATTTAGCACTGCATATTTCGAAAACGAGTTATGAGTTATGTGGCATTCATTTAGATTATTCTAAATTATTTTAAAATGCTTCCTGAATTCAATTATTTTTTTTCCCTCAAGAAGTAATTTCAGTCGATCTCAAGCATATAGCTTATGACAACTTATCCTCTGTTGCGGAGTACGAAGGTACTCACTCTTTCATAGTCTGCTTTCTAATAGTCGCATTTTAAAAGCGACCTTCCGGATAAACTCCTTTTCGGAGAGCTCCATATTTTGTACCATTCTGGCCCTGCCTTCCACCGCCTTTACCGCGGGATCGGTGATATTAGTCGACCTCAGTAAGTCCGAATTCCTTGTGTAATACGGGAGTCCGGTGATAATCCGGAGGATTCTTCTAAGAATGCCATAAGGCTTTTTCGGCGTCCAACTTGGGTCCTCGGCGCACACCTCACAGCCATACATTAACTGGGCGTACACCGTTGCCTTTAAGATGGTGATTTTCGTATTGGCGCTCAATGTTCTTGACCACCATACTGAGTTTAGCATGAACGACGTCCTCAAAGCCAAAGCGCTCCTCATCTTCTCGTGGGGGGCCCATTTTCTTCTACTGTCAAACTTGACTCCCAGGTAAACCGCGCGACGTTGAATAGGGATAAATTCCGGCCCAAAACGGATCCGCTCTACTCGGAAGTTTACCTTCTTGCCAACTGACAGGATCTCGGTCTTCTTTGTATTAATTGTGAGTCTGTTGACCCTACAATATGCACTGAGCCTCTCTAAAGTGTTCTCCAAATCCCTTCCCGCCTGGCTCCAGGTTTTTGCCGCGACGACTATGGCGATGTCATCCGCAAACTGGAGCACCTTAGCTTTCGACGACTTCTCGATCACGTATGGTAGGTCGCCCACCAGGATGTTGAACAGCAGCGGAGATAGAGGACCGCCTTGAGGGAGACCATCTGCAGCTATAAATGTTGCCGATCTGTGATTGCCCTTCACGCAGACAAACTGACGCTGATAGATGATATTGCAGATAATTCTCACGATGTCCCTTGAGAAGTTGGCCTTCAACATCTTATTCAC